TATATCCATATCTAGTCTCATATGGAAGCATGTTGGATGACTTCAAGTCCCAGACATTGGAAAAAAGAAGGCAGATACAGTGTGTGTTGTTTATTTATTATGTTATCAATGATATAAAGTACAATAAAAGTTCCTTAATTAACTATATTCCTATACATGTACCTAAAATTAACTTAAGGGTTAAAAGAGATACATTTTTTTATGTACAAGTGGGCAGCAGTTCTCCCCTCAATTGTATTTTGGTTAAAAGTAATGAACTGTTTTCCCAAGATGTTAGTCTAGATTATTTTATAAATACCTGACATGAATTAATTCAAAAGTTATGTAGTACCTAGCAGTGCCATCTTGTATGTTGTTTTTATTGGTGTAGTGTTTAGTTTGTATGTATCCATTTCTCTTACTTGTAATGGTAATTACCATTAAGGTGTTTGTATTTGTATCAATAAATAAAATCCATTAGTTGTGTTAAATTATTTTATCGATATTCATGTTGAAAATTGATCAACAAACCACATATTATTAGTCGCCTTATTATTATTATTACTGTAGACATAATCATAGTCAGTAGTCAATTATACTCTATTATCTAAGAGAAAAAAACAACTGACAAAGCAGGAAAGTAAAACAAAACAAATTAGTATTCACATATTCACTTACATTAAAAACGATGGCCTCTTTATTTATTAGTTATGTTTTTATCAATGGACTCATCAGTCAAAAATGATTCCAATTCATGTTATTTATACTTCCTTGACAGACTATTTCTTTCTACTTCTTCTTGATACTAATTACTAGCTAGTAATTGCAGATCTAAAAATTTGTCAATTCCTACATCTACTTCCCAGAAAGTGGCTTCTATTATCAGTCGATATCATCATCATCATAGGCATTCACTTGCTATCAAGATCAAGTTTACATATTTTAAAGTGTTGTAGTTGTTAAACATCTGTATATTTTTTTATTTTTTTTATTTCGGCAAGTTGAGTATTGTCCTAATGATTTCAAACTACTTATTTGTATTTTATGTTCAAATTTATTTGATCTTTGTGTTTCATATTTGAATTTGTATCTGTGTCTATATCTATATTTGTATCATCTTGTTATTTTATTGATTGTAATGAATAGTACCATAGCACATTATTTTGCTGTGAGCCTTATATTATTATTGACTTGTGTAAGCACACTGTGTAAAAACACCAATAAAGAATTTGAATTTGAATTTGAATTTGAAAGTATTGTATAAATCTTGGCAGCATCATTATCTGTGGGTTCTTTGTACACTCACGAGTAGGAACACCATATCTGTATGTACATATTATTAAAATTAAAATAAAGTTTTATTGTCCGAAGAATATGCAATTCTCTTTGACAAAGCAGGTTTAATTACTAAACATTGCCGTTAGGTTTCAAGATTAAGTTAAAGCAGACATGTAGAAGATGATAAAGTCACAGATAAGCTGCTAGCAAAATTCAGAAACCCAATTACTGATAGATAAAAAACGACAAATCTCATTCAGTGAGTCTTTTAGAAATTCATATACAGAATAATTTGCTTCAGAAGTCGGGAGAATTGTTAGTTCTCTCTTACATTTTCCATTTTTTTTGCGCACTTGTAAGGAAAATAACTATTTATAGGCAGTTTCTGATAAAAACAATCAAGGCAGTGTCATTCGCTTTCTACGCCGAAATGATCCCAAACGTATACTGAACGCTAGGATATGAACTATGCAGGTATTATTTGAAGTAGCTTTATGTGTACAATCGTTCCCTTGATGTGAGAAGTCTTGTAACTAGAAAAGGTGGCAGACTGATGACACGATTACGCTCTGAGCACCTACTTCTTCTTTGTTGTCAAATACTTGATAGGGTGCATAGTAACACCCTGTAGTAAGCAGTTGACTGTTAGGTGTGATTGAGTACAAACGATTGATGATTTAATACTAATTTATTTAAGGAACGGTAACACTATTTATACACAAATAAATGCAATATTCAAGGTAATTAACTAATAAATTAACTAAAGTGCTGACTTATATGTTTTACTGACCCACTATTCGTATGTCGATGACTTTAAAAATGCTTGGCTAGCTTGGTAAATAGAAAATAATTAATATTATATTTATTACAAGATAATAAGTTTTAAATTTGGAAGAAAATATGGCTAATTTGTAATTAGACATTAACAGCTGTATGCAACATCCTCTTTTAACTTAAAAGAGCTTTTGAGAACTGGTCACTTTTAAAAATGTGTATTCTAATCCATACAAAGGACACAGCCCATATAGTACGGGATACGAGGCCTATTTCATCAAATCATTTTACACTGTCTTGCATTGTTATCATCAGTTAGATAACATGATGCTGAAACGCACTTGCGCAGTGAAATATATGGGAGTGGGGAATTTAGCTGATAAAAATGTTTGAGAAAATGTCGTCATAATCCAGGAAAATATACAATTTCACACCGTCTTGCATTTACTTATTAAGTTAATTTGTACACAAACAAAATTAGAATACCCTATGCAAGACATTTTCCTGGGGGTTTTCGGGTTGTAATATTAGATAGAAATTGTCAATTTTTCAGAGGGGTGAAATATCATTTCACACCACTCAATTGTTGATTTAGATTAAAGCTTGAATGTAGAATAGCCATTGGATACTGATGCAAGACGTACTGTGAGGGGATAATGGGCTGCAAGACAGAGGTCAATGTGTTGTCTTATGAGGGAGGGAGAAATCATTTTACACCGTCTTGCACTGGTACTTATGGGAAAAATAGAACACATTGATAACATTTTTAAAAATACAAGACATTCTAAATGGGAAGAAAGGACTGCAAGACGATGATGAAGTTGACTAATTTTGACAAGGGTCAATCTATCAGGTACAAAGGTGAATACTACTTCAAATTACAAATTATGCACATTAATTTTAAATAGTTTTGCTCTTCACCACGTAGAATAATTCTATTTTGCGAAATTCTCCTAATAATATGTATATATGAATGTTTCTACGGACATCAAATAAAAAAGATTGAAAATTGTTTTATTTTTGACGGCTTTTAATCATTTAGGTTCTCTTTGAGGTGGATATCCCATGACACATAACATGTTTTGTGCACATAACAGATTGTAAGCATTAAATTTGAAGAATTTCATTTTAAAGCAGCAAAAAAATGTGAAAATGACACAACAAATGATCTGTCTGAAATTGTAAACAAAAATTATAATTCCTGTATTCAACAGACTCCCCTGTTGAGCTGCTATGTCAACTGTCCTTTTTCATCTGTATGATTTAAAAAAGAATGAACATTGAACGGATCAGTAAATAACTCAACAGTTCAGTGAAAAAATTAAAATGGATTTTTTAACTTTTTTCCCAGAAAAAACGTCTTGGACTGATGTAATACCATTTCTTAACATAGATTCTTTCGGCGGACATAAGCATGAAGTGGGGTAAAATAATTTTTCACTCCCTCATGAGACAACACATTGACATCCGTCTTGCAGCCCGTTATCCCTCTACAGGACGTCTTGTATCAGTATCCAGTGGCTATTCTACATTTAAGCTTTGATATAAATCAACAATGGAGTGGTGTAAAATGATATTTCACCCCTCTCAAAAATTGACAATTTCCATCTTATATTACAACCCCAAAACCCCCATGAAAATGTCTTGCATGTGTTTATCCAATTTTGTTTATGTACAAATTAACTCAATAAATAAATGCAAGACGGTGTATAATTAAATATTTTCCTCGTTTATGATGACATTTTCTGAAACATTTTTTTCAGCGAAATCCCCCACTCCTATCTATTTCCCTGCACAAGTGCGTTTCAGTACCATGTTATCTAACTGATGATAACAATGCAAGACGGTGTAAAATGATTTGATGAAATAGGCCTCGTATCCCGTACTAATAGTATACGGAAATTGTGTTTATGTCAGAATTGGCTGAATTTTGTATATAATGTAGATCACGCCTTTCTGATTAAAAGTTACCATTGCACCAATCCTGAAAAATGATTCCACGTGCGCCACAAGCTTACCTATTCGTGCTACATTGAACGTTCAATACAATATCCAAGCGTTTTACTTGCTACCTATGAAATTAATTTTCTCGAAAAGGAGTAATTTTTCAGGATTACTGCAATGGTAACTTTAAATCAGAATGGCGTGATCTACATTATATACAAAATTCAGCCAATTCTGACATAAACACAATTTCCGTATACTTTGGGCAGGGTCCTTTTTAAAGGTACCAGTTTCAAAAAGCGCTTTTAAGTTGAAAGAGTCTTTATGATTTGTGAACCTGCGTAGGTCATGTCTTAGCGTTCAGGATATATTTGGAATGCTATCCACGAACAAAGGTAATCTTAAAATGTGTTAAAAGCAGTAAAATACATGAGATTCTATACTTTGCTTCTCGCTTTGCTTTAAACATGAAACGAATGGCTCTTTTTTATCTTTTGAGTAAATCAAATAAATATTGGACGCAGCAGGCAGATGCAAATACCATATCAAAGCAGGAGTTTACTGTCTATATTATAGGGTATACATTACAAACAATTTTATGTTCACAATAATAATTATTAAGCACTACATTTAAGTAGCGAAACATTTGGTGTTTCTGATAAGAAAGTCTAAAATTAATTTAATGATTATCAAATTTTATGTAAATAGACTGAATCACTGGAAATAATATTATTATGGTCAGGTCTTATAACTGAGTGATTGTAACCATTTATTTGCAACCCAAGTAAAGTAGAAATCATTTACAAAAAGTTTGTTTTAAATATGGAAATAGATGCAAAACATTGCACTTAACAAGACCCAAATTAAGTTAAGAACTTCAATTAATTTAATAATTGTCTTATTAAATGTAACTATCTATCATTACCTAGTTTATTATAATTATTCGTAAGTACCCACAAGAACAAACAGATTCTTACACAAGATTTTCTTATTATTCTTATTCACACCGGATTCTCTTTTTCCAGACACTATCAAATCTTAATGACCGAGAACTGAAAGCTTTGCTGGACGAAGCCATAAACTACAAGAATCCCAAAGACAGAGAAGGAAAAAGTGAACTTTTTAATGTAAGCAATGTTAACATGAAATGTGATCCAACATCTAATGAAAAATATTGTTAATTTGTATAAATATTATATAGGATCTCCTTCTTGAGGCCGAAGAAACAGAGCGAATTGCACGTGCTACCTCAGCAGGTGGTTCTGAGCTGGTCCGACATTGTAATCCTGCGGCGCGCAGGCAGCGTCACGGGGGTGGCCCCAGGGGCCGCCGATATGGAGGACCCAGCAGTTCGGGGATGATGGGAAGGAGTGTCAGTGAAAGGTACGTTCAATGAACTGAAACTGCAATATAGCGTGCACCAACATATTCACCCTTCAAAAAAAATTTACCCTTGCATATTTCCAGATGGTTGGGAAAGTTTTTTTTCTTATGCATTTATTAATTTATTCAAGGAAGGGAATACACGATTTTCTATTTTTTATGAGACCTACAGTAAATGCAAATGGATCTTTTTATTTATTTCATTATTGAATATACAGCAGTTTGGCATATTACAGATACAAAAGAATCTAACAACCAAGCGTCAAATCCTGTTCTTGAATATATTTCAATTTCAGTTTATACTTTATAAAATATTTTTTGTTCCAGAGGTACTCATGGAGGTTCACTGGATAATCTAGCCAAAGAAGAGTTGTACGATCCCACTTGTAGACGTTTGAGGGGCGTTCGTAAGTCCAGTACTAGTTCTAGTGGGGCTTCGTCAAGCTATGGTGGTAACCCAGTGAGAGTGAGCGCCAGGCAAAGGGAAGGAGGTAAGTTTGTCACTCAATTTTTTTTAATAAAAATGTTTTGTTGGTGTTTTATTTTTTCCTTTTCAATAAGAAAATTATTAATCCTGAAAGGCAGGTATGTATGTATAAGTAGATAAATTAGGTTTGGTATCAAGATAAGGCATAATATTTATGGTAATCGTAATTACAAATTATGTTTTAATTTATGTAAACTGGATTGTCCGTGCGGTCAATGTTCTATTGATTTTCCTATGTACCGAGTTATATCTTGATTAGCAATTCTAGCTGTTATGATAATTAAAATTTACCCTTGTTGGTGGCAAATTAAAAGGTTTTGAACCTTGATAATCGTCGTTGATGAGTTAGTTTGGACCAATGACCTATTATCGCAAATGGAGCATTACAGAATTTTGATATGACAACATAATCTGATGTTTCTTGTTCACTCTCAGTAATAAATTATTGGCATGGACTAGTTTTAAAACAGCGAAATTTTAAATATTGACATTTCTCTTGAAGCAGACATAATGGATTGTTCTTGTTTTTTTTTTTTCAACTCTGATCTTGTAAAAGTGCTGCAATCCGGTCATGTTCTAGTTTTTTTCCTGTCTTTGGGGTTTCTCTAACTACCTCTTGTTGTTTCTCTTTTTATCTTTGATCTTCTTGTTGCTTTAAAAGTACTGCAAGTTGGTGCTGTTTTTCTGTCTTCGATCTTCCTCTTCTGCCTGTTTTTTTTCTTTCATGTATTCGAGCTTCCTCTTCATGATTCTTGTCTTCTATATTTTTCCAGTAACATTTGATCAACTTTCATTCCGTGTGTTTGTTGTCCTGTATTTTCTATAAATAAATATCCTTGTATATTTGTTGCTCTGCGTTGGACTTTTTCCAAGTGCTTCCTTGTTCTTGATATAACAACTCCATATTTGGGCATACTCCAGGCCGGGTCTTATGTAAGCCTTGTACAGCTTTACAAACATGTGGGGCGTAGGATCTTTAAATGCCTTGGAAATCAGATACATGATGGAGTTTGACTTCTTTATGATATCATTGATATGATTTTTCCACTTCATGTCTTTTATGAAAACAATTCCCAAATCATTAGGTTCAGCAACACAGATTACCTGGGTAGACCCAATGAAGTAATGCATCTTGGAGATGTTTTTGCCCAGGTGGAGAATTGAACACTTGAAGTCATTCAGTGGCGATTGCCAGGTGGTTGTCCATTCTGTGTTACAGGATTACTTTAACAACAGGTATGTTCCGCAAATGACGACATTTGACTCCCCAATCCATTTGGTAGGTCACTAATATATACAAGGAAGAGTAGAGGGTCAAAGACTGAACCCTGGGAGACACTACTAAAAACTTCACAGGAATTTGTCTTCATCCTGACACAAAACTGTCGATTCTGCAGAAAATCTTGGATTAGGTTGAGTAGAAGTCCTCTTATGTAGTGGAGTTTATGAAGAAGTCGCTCAAATGATACCTTGCCAAAAGCCTTTTTAAAATCCAGGTAAAATACATCAACAGACTGGCCAGAGTCATCTGCCCTTGGTCAGCAGGTTTGTGAAAGTAGACCTTCCGTGGGAAGGTGATCATTCCATTTCCGAGCAAAAATCGATTCATCTCAGATACCAGGACTTTCTCCACGCATATAGGTAATACAATTGTATTCTTCCATTCCCATGGCAGGGTTGTTCATCATGGCTGAGAGGGATTGTGACAGAACTGCAGAACATTTGTTCAGGATAATGGCAGGGATTTCATCCTCTCCTGGACTAGAATCTGGTTTCAGTGATTTGAGTGCAGTCTCCAATTTCTCGGGTGTAAGAGTTACAATTTCAATTGAATTAGCACAATCAAGATCCAAGTTGGGCATATGGCTTAAATATTCTCTTGTAAAGACACTCTGAAACTGTTAGGCAAACAAATTGGCAACTTCTTTCTCATTATCAAGGGTGTAGTTAGTGAGAAATGGGTAAGTCTTGAATAAATAAAACTGCTTGTCAGAAGAGGTTAGCAATTCTTATTCATATTTCCTCCTAGTCTAGACTGTTTTATCTCTCTGTCTTGTATTTCTCTGAGGTTGATACACTTTCTCTGCATCACAGAGTTGAAATATGGCTTCACACATCACCTCAAACCCAAACTTTACAAAATTTTCGCGTTCTAAAATCAAAATACTGCATTATAACACGCGATGTACCAAATCTCCTATACCGCCCATGTGATCGGGAAGTCAGATCAGATCCATAGCGACGCGCGCGCCACCTAGGTGACGGGGCGCGGAAGCTCCAACCTCCGCCGCTCCTGGTAGCTCGTTCTTCAAACGTAGCCGTTCCTCCATCTCAAATCTTACTCTATTCTTGTTGCAAGAAACTGGAATTTTGTTTCATTACCACAAATACCACACGACACATTCAAATCAGGCACACTGGCGTTTTTGAAACAGGAATGCAGAAATTGTTTCGCCGATCGCCTCATATGAATGTAAGGTTCATTTCACGGAGGTTTGTACTTATGACATCGATAATAGAGACTTTTTGCACCCCTTAAAATAACAGCTCTTTTAGGATTAGTTATGGTTACCTTTATCGGCGATAACGATTACGACGGCCTTCAAAATCAGAGATTTTGCATCTTGCATCGCCTAACGTTTACATATTTCCGTTATTTCTATTTTGCCTCTGGGCCATGAACTGCGCCTGCGCTTTCGGATGTAAACCAATTTCATAACATCAAAATGATAATCCACACTTATTTTTTCAGAATTTCAGATGATTTTAATTAATTATTTATTAAAACAGGATGACATCTATTCAATTTTCTTCAATGTGGCATCCACACAGTTTTACCATAACCATAGGTATAGCTAAGCACAATATTATTTCTCCTTAAATAACGCCGCTCGTTGTGGTTGATAAGTACAACGAACATTTTTTAGCTACTGCGCATACTCATTATAACGATAACCACAACGGAATGGTAAAATAAGAGGTGCAAAAAGTCTCTAATGCCATAACTTGGAGAAAAAAAAAATTGTCGTGGATTGATTCATATAAATTCAATAGCGTTCAGATTTTGTATTGTATTGAATGAGTTCTGGTTTAAAAACCGACGAACGTTTTTGAAGTCATTAATTAGTTTCAGTCAATTTTTTAAGTACTGAAATTGAAGGTACACAAAAAAATAAAACAACAAAAGAAACAAGGCGTGGCGTGTCAGGCTGGTCTATTCGATTCGACTATTGTAGCTTTGTTCCAACCCAGCAGGAAACCGTTCATGGTGTCCAAGATTCGATTGTTTTGAGGGGTTTCGGGTATATCTAAAAGAGTTGGAAAAGGCCTTGCGAGCCTCGATTTTCAAAAGACATTGGTGAAAACCGCATCTGGAGTCGTTTTTATGCTGCGAGAGGTTTTTGAAAAGTTTGGAGTTTGGCAGGGGGTCTATAACTTTTTTATTTATGGAAATTTGGTCAACTTTTCTCCTCGTTGCTTAAAACCGAATCGAGATATCGAGATGCGGGTTTCACCGGTCAACTTCTCTTGAAAATCGAGGCTCGCAAGTGGGGGTCAGATTTTTTCCAAATCCTCTAGAAATATCCGAAACCCGTCAAAACCATCGAATCTTGGACACTCTACATTTCACCGTCAAAGGTAAAATTTGTACCTAGAATCCAAAATTCGTATACAGAGTGGTTCTGAAACCGTTCTCGGGACGGTTTCTTGGCCGGTTGGAACCTTGTGTAAACTGTAAACCTAATCAATCAATCAATCAACCAATCAAAAGGTCTTTATTTGGTATAATTACTTATAAAAATTACAGAGTTTATACCCTTGGTGGCGAGATCCAGCAATGCTGTTCATATCTAACCACCTAATAATACTATATTACTATATTACAATCCCAGACGGAAAATGCTTCATTGCTGGTTAAGAAGTTATATAGTTTATCGAAACGCTTAGCGTCGAGATAAACTAAACCTCGAGACAGCAAATGAAGTTTTCCGTCGAGGTTTGCATACAATTTTATTTTCAACCCTCAATTTCTGAGGCATAGGATTTTATGGTACGGGTACGAAATAATAGTGTGTAAATTGGCCTCTAAAAACAATCAGCTTTACTTTTTTCTTTGTCAATGTCATCAATTTTGACAAAAAAAACAAGCAGGGAAATCGGGACGGAAACGCATTTTTCCATCCGCGGCAGGCATATTCATTGCCGACCTGAACAAATGTAAAAGTGCAGAAATGTGACACTTTCAAGATTTTAAAAAGTCTGTAATGCCAACATTAAATATACGGTTGGCAATAAAATTTATTAGGCAGCATATTTAAAGGGAGTGTGCGCCAAAAATTCAAGTTTTAGTGTAAAAAAATCTAAGAACTGATCAAACTTCGTTACTCTACGATAAACCATCGCCTTAAGGTGTGTGTGACGTCACGAGAGCTTCGTTCAGCCGCGCTCCGCATTGTTCATTCGTCCCCGACACGTGTCACTAGTTTTTATTTAGGTTATTGCGGGTGGCATAGGAAAAACATTTATATAAGTTCAATGCACTTCACCATCTCGTGCGCCGGTCGAGCTCTCGTGACGTCATAGGGTTAGACGCGGTATCTTCATAGAGCCGTATCTTCGGTATTAGTTGTCATAGAGGGGTGCGGCTTTCGATGTTATTCTTAGATTTTTTTGCTTATTTTTTTTGAGATGAAGTTTTTTTGGCGCACAACCCTTTTAGGTGTCCCTGCATGACTCTCCTATCTCGCATGAAATAAATCTTCAAGATTCTTTTAAACTGATTTAGGTTTGAGGCCAGGGTTGAAAAAAAAACATGTTTTTTTTTTTTAAAACATAAAAACATGTTTTTTTTGGTTTTTAGTGTTTTTTTTTTGGTTTAAACTGTTCAAAACACCTAAGAAAAAAAACATGTTTAAAACACGTTTAAAACACCTCTGCTACAACAATCATGCTCCTGTGCTCTTACCTGCAATTCTAAAGCTTCTTCATGATTAAGCAGATCAA